AATCCGCCGGGATGAACGTCCTCGTTGCGGCCGACCCGCTCCGCGCGATGTTGATCTACGACGACCTCCACATGCTTTGCAAAGCCCACGGCGGGGGGGCCGTCGTGGATCGCCCGGCGGGGGACTTCTCCTGGATCCTCCTCGGAACCGACCGCGAGGCCGCCGAAAGCGACTTCCGCCGGCTCCGCCGCGGCCTCAAAGCCCCACACGGCCCTCCCCGCCTCTTCATCACCACCGCCGATACCTTCTGCGAGCTGCTGTTTGAGAAGAAGATGGAATTTGAGGACTTTGGCTACCTTCGACGGGTTTATGTGGATGACGTGGGGATGCAGATCCCGATGCTCGCGCGGACCGCCCCCATCGGGGAGGTTCGTGAGCGTCTGCGGAACCCGTTGGCGGCGGAATTGCTGCTGGGAACGCTCCATCAACTGCCGGGCCCGCACATTCGCTCGATCTTGCAGCTCGGGCTCGTCTCCGCCGACGTCGATGACGATCTAAAGGACCATTTGAAGGCCTTATGTCTGAAACCCTCCTCGCAGACCATCGCTCTATCCCCCATTCGCGTTCCTTCCACGCTGCATTGCGTCTTTAGCTTTTACCTGCCAAGCGAAAATCGCTTGGAATATTTGGTACGGCTGATGTGGAATGCCCACGAGACGATCCCCGGCCGGGCGGTGATTTTTATCCACAGCGATGAGGATATCCTGCACGTCCGACGAACCTTGCGAGGCCTAGGGATGGAGGCCAAGATTTTTTCAGAGGTCTATGGCAATGGGCAATTTCAGGAAAAGTGGAAGTTTCTGATTCTTCGCGAATCCGAGGCCTTTGGGATTGATCTTCCGTTGGTTTCTCATGTTTTCATCAGCATCACGCCGCAGTCGTGGCAGACTTTCTTGCATATGTCTGGGCGCGCTGGGCGATTGGGAAATGTCGGGTGGGTTTTTACGATTACCGACAAACGCGACGCCAAACACGTTCGGCATGTGGTGGAGGATCTTTCGGTGGAGTTCACCCACCACGTCGTGGATGTCGATCTTAATCCGGTTTCCTCGTCTTCTGTGGAGAGCTTTACCAAGGATCCGGAGCTCTCCGGGATGGATCCGCAGTATGTGGTACAGCAGCACCATGAAGTGCAGGCGGAAAATCCCGAAATGGCGAACCGAAGCCGGGAGTTCTTCTCCAAACCCGCGTTTAAACAATTTCAAATGGAAGATTACACCCCATCCCCGATTCTTCAGCGGCGCTTTGAGAACACCAGGAAGCTTGCGAAGGATGTCGAGCGGGACCCGTCGATTGCATTGCGTATGGTGCAAAAAGGCCTCTTGGATGATCAATTACGCCCGACAAAACGCCTTAGAACTCAGATGAACCTCAAAACATCTAAACAAGCCCCATCCCCTTTTGAAAAACGAAGGAATAAGTAGCATCATGCTTGATAGTGTAATGTTGGTTTCCATGTGGATGAAGCTTTTATAGGATCCTAAAAAAAAAAGAACCAATGAAACTTCTTCCGTTTCATGAAGGGTAAATATATTTATATATATATATATATATAAATTGGACTCAAATGCTTTAACCTGTTCGGCGATGATCCGAAACATCCCACTAATGAAAAAAAAGGGTATTATTGCTATCTTATCCTCCTTTTTTTTTCTTTATTGTTATTATTTATTTATCCCCTTGTATGTCTAATAGGACAGTCTAAATGACGGATGTTTTAAGGCCTCCCACGCCCTGTGTGGAGGCGGCCTGCCCCCCCCCGACCGGCCGCGTCCACGCCCTGCTGCGCTGTCGGCCGCTTTTGCCCGCGATGGAGGAGACCCACGGCGCGACGCGGCTTCACGTCCTGCCGGCCTCCCACAGCGTCGTGGTGAATGACTTCAATGAGGCCTC